CACTGTTGTGCCAATAAAGTGAGTTGCCAGGGGTGAGCACCAGTTGGCTGTGACTATCCGGATATTGTGGCAACTGCCGGGGTGCCCACCTGTTCACAGAACACTTCTGTTCAGGGGTGTCATATGTTAACATATTGAGATGTAGCTTCTTGTCGAGGTAGAGAAGGAGATTTCCCTTTCCCATCTTCTTCCTCAGGCCTAGGACGACATGTGACCCGAAGGTAGTGGCGCCTGTGTGTACCGGTGTCCTCTTTACCTGCTTACATCCAGGACACCAGTTCCATCAGTTTCCTGTCTGCTAGGTCAGTCACGGGTCCAGCTGAGCCATAATAGTTGCACCCAGGCATCTTACCATAGCCAGCTGCACCCAAGACTGACGTAACCTGCTTTTTGGCCTGTGGAGTAGGCCAGGCCACAACTGCCTCCATCTCCCCATTCCCAGACCTCTGGGGGTCTCTTCCTACCGGTGGTTCCCAAAGCTGAACCACTGACATGCCCCTCTGACAGTTACCATTCTCGACTGTCAGACTACACGTGGGCAGTTTGTTCCTGACTAGTGACAGGGGCCCAAGTTGCTCTTCTCAGACAGGGATGAACACCCCAAGGCCCCTAAAGTGGACAACTGCACACAGTTCCACTCCACATTGTAGGTCATTCCTGACCCCTGGGGAGGGGGTTGGTGCGTTCTCAACGCCAACTAGCTTCCCCGTGAATTCAGGTGAGCCATATGGGGTGGTGAAGGCTGACTCGTACTGAGCCTCCTGGGTTAGAGATGGTGGCCCATACCCTCTGCTCAGGTCCATGATAGTTAGACAGTGGGCACCTTCCGGATGCTTCATTACCTCATGGCTCCTGGGCATGGGGTGGGCCACACCCACAGGGCTGGCACTCAGTTTTCCAAGGTTCTCAAAAAGCCTGGTCATCTGATCCTGTTTGGGGATCGAGACTACCGGGGATGCCCAGGCTCTAACTGACCCCTGTATTCCTGACTGCGCCATTCCCTCTGTCTCTTTGGCCCATTCAGTCTGCACCTCCTGTGAGATGAGGTTGGCTGAAGGTATGAGGGAGGGATACACTCTGCCGTCCAACTCCTGAACAGCACGGTGAGCTCTCCCGGGGTTTCCCTGAACCCAGACACCATCTATCATAGGCATTGCCAGCAGCTTCTGTACCTGAATGGAAAGGAGAGGTGATTGGAGCTGAAGGCCGCAGCCCCCTCTCTGAGATCCGATGATCCACTCCAAGGAGGCCCCCTCGCACTTCCAATCCAGGTGTGTTGTCACTGCCTAGGACACATGTTTTTCTGCCTGGTGACACACAGGACAGGACAGGTCAGGTAAGATGACATGCTTTCAGTCTCCAAGCCCCCTGCTGGTAGACCATTCATTCCATCCACCCTGTCAGGCTTTTGTTTACCCTTCTCGGCAGGGAAGCTCACAGCTAGCTGGTGGCTGAAGACCATGTGGTGATTGCTTTTCAGTGTTGCCTTGCATGTGAAACTACAAGTACTAGCCAGCTGTTGTTTACCTTTCTCAGCAGGGAAGCTCACAGCTATCTGGCTGCTGAAGTCCCTGTGTGAATTGCTTTTCAGTGCTGCCTTACAAGTGGAACTACAAGTCCCAGCCTGCTGTCCAGTACCATGCAAGGACAACGGCTGGGCACTTATCGAGGTAGAATCCTCGGGGCCTGGGCAAGGAACAGGCCTATCCAGTCCATCTCTTTGCTCAGCCCCCAGAGATTGTACCTCTGCCCCCTTCACAGCACTGTGGTTGACCCCCAACAATGAAAACATCATTTTTATCATCATGACCATCATCATCATCAACTTTTATTGACATTATCACTATCAGCATCGTCGTCATCATTACCGTCATCATTATCAACAGTTACGTTTATAATATCAATGACACATGAGTTCGATACCTCCCCAGGCAAGGGGATTTCTTCTCGTTCTTCAGCTAATGGAGAATCCTGTAGCCCCACTCCATTCCCAGCCCCCTCCCTCTGTCCATCCACAGGTTGCCCAGACATTACCCCAACATCTGCACACACTACCTTGGCATGTCCAGAGAGTTCCAGAGGGCCCTTCCGGGTATTCTCGGCACAATAGGACACAAGAGTACCCAAATCAGCTGGCCAGGTGATGTCATCTGCTTCTGCTCAGGACACTGTGTCTTGAGATGTCCGGCTTTCCCACAGGTGAAACATCTGCGGTTGTCAGGCAGGGGTGGCTTGGCTCCAAGTACTGTAGGTGTTCGGTGAGGGGGAACTTGACTCACCGGCGTAGGAGGGGTTGCTATGGGCAATTTCCCTCCTTTCCAGCTGTTCAGAGGAGCCTTGCGAGGGTCAGACACCCGCGTATGAACGTAGGTATCGGCCAAATCAGCTTTAGTAGATGCTGGCTCTCTCTCCAAGACCAACTGTCTGATGTCTGCCGGGCAGATATGCAGGAGCTGATCTTGTATCATGAGATCTTCTAAAGACTCGTAGGAGTCTGCTTTCAGACCTTTAGTCCACTGCCGGAATTTGGTGAGTAAGCGACTCGCTACATCCGTGTAAGAGTCCCCAGGTCCCTTTTGCAAGCACCTGAACTGCTTGCGGTACACTTCGGGGGTCATCTGGTACTTCCGGATGATGGCATCTTTTAAAGCTTCATAATCGTTGTCCTGCCCCTCTGGCAATTCGACAAACGCATCCAGGGCCTTGCCTTGTAGCCCTGGTGTCAGGTACTGAGCCCATTGAGCTTGGGGCAGATGGTACTGACGGCACGTTTTTTTCAAATGACAGTAAATACGTGTCAATGTCACTATCTTTTTCCATCACTGGAAACTTGGCTGCTGTGCCCACGGCCAGAGAAGCGTCCCTATGCTCTGAGGACCCAAGGTTCTGAGCCTGTCACTGCTGCTGGAGCCTAACCATCTCTAGCTCGTGCCGACGCTCAGTTTCTCTCTCAGCTTCGCGTTCCTCTCTGTCAGCCGCTGCTTGGCGTTCTGCTCTGTCCGCTGCTGCCTGGCGTTCTGCAGCCTCTCTGTCAGCTGCTCTTTCAGCCTGGCTGTCAAGGAACTGCAAGTATGCCATAGGATCTGTCTCCATGATGCGTTTCAGGGCTTCCTGCATCTGAGGAGAGTCTCTGCTGGTTACAGGCATTCTGGTGCTGGCCCGCTTGGGCGGTGGTGTGAAGATAACATTAGGAGATACTCCAGTGTCAGTCTCTGTAGGCCGTCTCTGAGCAACTGGGAACGTAGGTAGCGGGAACCCCGCCATGGTCAAGTTCCTCTGAGTTCTCTGTTTGTACGCTTGCTACACTTGCGGGCACTGCAGGATTTCAATCCTTGTCGGCGCAGTGTGTTTACCAATTGTTTTCTTGGTGACTGTGGTTCTAGCTGCCTGGAGATCATTGACAAGATCCTCACGTGTAATTCTGAGATGATTCCTCACTGTTCTCATGATCATTGACACTCCACGAGGTAAGATCTTGCATGGTGCACCAGACCTAGGGAGACTGACAGTTGTTTTGTGTTTCTTCCATTTGAGAATGATTGCACCGACTGTTGTCACCTTCTCATCAAGCTGCTTGGCGATAGTTTGGTAGCCCAGTCCAGCCTTGTGTAGGTCTACAATCTTGTCCCTGACATCCTTGGACAGCTCTTTGGTCTTTGCCATGGTGATGAGTTTGGAATCTGATTGTTTGATTGCTCCTGTGGACAGGTGCCTTTCTATACAGGTAACAAAATGAGATTAGCAGCACTCCCTTTAAGAGACTGCTTCTAATCTCAGCATGTTACCTGTATGAAAGACACCTGGTAGCCAGAAATCCTGTTGAATTATAGGGGATCAAATACTTATTTGCCTCATGAACATGCAAATCAGTGCATAATTTGTTAGACATGCATTTCCTTTGAATTTTGTGTTGGTATTATGTCTCTCAGTGTTACAATACACCTACCATTCTATATTTAGACTGATCATTTCTTTGTGAGTGGGCAAACATTCAAAATCAGCAGGGGATCAAATACTTATTTCCTTCACTGTAACTGTTTTTTTTTTTTGTTGCTGGAGCCATTTTTCATTTTGTGCACTTAAAATGTATTTATAGGTAATTTTTTTGTTTTGGATAGCAGAGGAAAGGATAAGTCCCCCCTAACACTTTTTTTTTTGATTGTCCATGTTCCTACTGGCAAGAGTCATCCCGCTATTTGTACTGGACACTAATGCCACCAAGAAGGGGAGCATGACTATATGATATAATTTACAGTGAAGGAAATAAGTTCAAAAATAAAAACAAAACTGTTACATTTATTTAGTGGTTTTATGGAATTTATTGCTGATCTCACACTGAAAGGTATATAACAATATATAAAAATCTGTCTTAAAGGGGAACTAAACCCTCCTATCCTTTACAGCCAAGGAAGCTGTCATCTTGGCCTGAAGTTGCCATGTGCTGCACATGTGATCAGCTATAACACCAGACATTTGATGGCTTTAACAGTTTGGTTGAGAGTGAGCAGGAGCACATTAGCAACAATAACTGTTAGCATTCACAGCATGCCTCAAACATAACTGTTTTGGGAAACAGTTGAATTGATGGGTTTAGTTCCATTTTAACCACCTCCCGCCCGCCATATAGTAATATGATGAACGCAAGGTGGTTCTCTTGTTCTGGGAGGACGTCATATGGCGTCCTCCCATTCTCACCGCGCATGCGTGGCTCAGGGAGCACGCTGTGCAGGAATTGGCGGTGCACTGTGTCCCTCGGACACAGAAGATCACCGATCTCGGAAAGAGCCGAAGATGTCGGCTCGGTCATATGATCAGCTGTGTCCAAACAGCTGATCACACGAGAGGAGAGCCGGTAATCGGCTTTCCACAAAAGGGACATGTACACTGATCATCAGGGCACTGATGATCAGTGTGCCCTGATGATCAGTGTAGCCCCAGCAGCGCCACCTGTCAGTGTCCATCAGTGCCAGCTCTCAGTGATCATAAGTGCCTTGTGCCAGTGCCCATCAGTGCCACATCAATGCCACATATCCGTACCTACCAGTGCCCATCAATGCCACATATCAGTGCCCATCTGAGCTGCCTTTCAGTGTCGCCAGTCAGTGCTGCCAATCAGTGCCACCTATCAGTGCTGCCTAACAGTGCCAGTCAGTGCCGCCTATCAGTGCCAGTCAGTGCCGCCTATCAGTGCCGCCTATCAGTGCCATGTATCGGTGCTGCCTTTCAGTGCCCATCAGTGATGCCTGTCAATGCCCATCAGTGCCACCTACTAGTGCCTCCTCATCAGTGCTCATCAGTGCCACCTATCAGTGTCCATCAGTTCAGCCTATCAGTGCCCATCACTGCAGCCTCATTAGCGCATATCAGTGAAGGAGAAAAATCACTTATTTACAAAATTTTATAACAAAACCTAAGAAAAAACTTTAAAAAAAAAAAGTTTTCAGTGGTTTTTGGTTTGTTTAAGAAAAAAAAAACCCAGAGGTGATTAAATACCACCAAAATAAAGCTCTATCTGTCACAAAAAAAAAATGATAAAAATGTCATATGGGTACAATGTTGCATGACCGCGCAATTTTCATTCAAACTGCGACAGTGCTGAAAGCTGGAAATTGGCCTGGGCAGGAAGGGGGTATACGTGCCCTGTAGGCTAGTGGTTAAAGCATAACTAAAGGCAAAATGTTTTTGTTTAGTTTTGGACAGAGTGGAAAGAGATTTTTTCCCACTTTAGGGAGATCCGTCCTCTCGAATTGTCCTGTTTACCATTATCATTGATCGTAAAAGAAAATGACAACTTTTGGGTTGTCCCCAGAAAAGTAATAGAAGGGAAATCTTCTGATGGGGACCCTAGTTCTAATGATCTGGGGGGCCTCAAGGAACTCCCTTCATGTGCAGGGATTTCATCTCACTTCCTGTTTGTCTACAGAACAGGAAGTGAAAGGAAATCTCAATGGGACACAGATGGTAAAACAAATCTGACAATGGTTATAACCAGGGGTGGACTGACAACTCATGGGGCCCCTGGGCAATAGGGGATCATGGGGCCCCTGTGTCCTTGCCCAAACTCAAAAAAGCCTATGAAAAAGGTACCAGGGGCATCTCATGGGGCCCCTTACCGACCCCAGCCCTCGGGCAGTGCCCGAGTTTCCAAATGGTCAGTCCGCCCCTGGTTATAACCCCTCATGCTATATCCAAAATGAATAAAAAAGTTTGCCTATAGGGAAGAAACTATTTAAAAACTTGATTGTCCAACTGAATGGTGAAATAGAAAATTCAGAAATAGGAGGGGGTGGTTTTGGGACAAATTTGATTTTAGCTGTCACGCCTGTCAGATGTATGCACGGCAGGCTTATACTGTACGTAGGATGTACCAGAAGGCACTTACTATCTGGCAATTAACGAGCTCTTCTCCTGTGACATGGAAATAGTAATCCATACTGCCCGTCCATCCTAACAGATGTCTAATATAAGTAAAGAGTTAATGGAAAAAAATACCAGTCAGACACCAGATCAGCTTAAATTTAATTCCAGTGTAATTCCCTTAGCAGCATTCTATTTAAGGTCTCTTGATTCTATTAAGTAGCATGTCAAAATCATAGAAGCTGGGTAGGTTCCAGTTTTTTTTTTATATTTACAGGTCGAAGAAAATTACAGTTACATTTTTGGAAGCAAACTTTTTATACAACCTACCTGTTTACAGTAAGTGTATGCATACAGAAATGGTTGTTATGTTTGTAAAACTGGAGAGAAATGTTGCAGTGGGGACAGCTTAGATAGAGACACACTGCTTTCCAGTTCTGCTGCAGGAGATAAGAGAATAGTGTAGGTTGTATCTGTATTTAGTGCTGTGATACTGTGGCAGCACTAACAGATTAGCTGGAGGAAAATATACTGTATCTATGACAGGTTCAGCTGTCATCCGTCATCTTAGTCGCTTAGCATTTTCACAACACTGAAGATGCAATTTAAAGGGTCAGTCCACCAGAAACCGATCTTTTGATTTTTGGTATATATCTGAGAGAAAAAACCACTTGACAGTTAATTATTGTTTGGGACTCCTTCAATTAGATCTCTGAGCTTGAATTCCTGGGTGTGTCCATCATTATTGTATGTTCCCGTTTTCCTGATTTGATTTTTGCTAGTATATATTATGATTAGAAGTCTTGAAGAGTTGACTCTTCTTTTAGAGGGTACCACCAGAATACAGAACTTTTAAGGTACCCACACTTAATACCATATATATATATATATATATATATATATATATATATATATATATATATAATACAGGATTTATATAGCGCCAACAGTTTGCGCAGCGCTTTACAAAATGAAGGTAGACTTAATTCACATTTATTAATGTCACATTGAAACATTTTAAAATGTCATAACTCACAATAACAGATAAATGCATTACCAAGCCCCAATATTTATAGTTGTCTCCCTCCAGCATCCATTAGCTGTCCTATTATTAGTGCATTCTCGCATATAGTCATAGGACTCAATATACCAATAGGATTTCAGGTATGCTAATGCAGCAGAGGAATATAGATCTCTCTCAGCATGTTTCTTGGAAATGAATTCTGCAACTTGGGAAGAGCAGTTAGGACTACTTTTTCATGACTGTAATCTGTACTGTAGTATGATCTGTATGGTCACTAAATTTCCCCCAAGGCGAGTGTAGGGACACCAGAAAAAGAGACGTCAATGCGAAAGGTCAGCCATAGGGGGCAACAGAAAAAGAGAACTTGTCAGCCACAGACTCGTATAGATTTTTGGAATCCTTGATCATTTGGGTATCTAGCCCACTCCCCTACTGATTTGCCACTGAGTGTGGTTCACTTAACTACTGAGTAATTGTGGTGCACCATTGGCCACTACGATCATGTTATAGAATGCAAGGGAAACTTCTCAGAACTTTACTCCGAATCCTTGGATGGTCTAGACATTCACTATTATAAGAGTTATCCCCAGGGCTGGTGACACGTACCTAATAGGAGACTGAAATGATCGTGGTGGCCTCTGTTGTATCTTCGGCCCAAGCATCCCTGGAAGTGGAACAGATAGTGCCAAGGAAGAGGAGGGACATGAGTGCTGGAAGATGTTGATTGCAGAACTTTGAAGTGGAAATGTCAACCAGGAAGATCCAACACAGTACACTGCCAGAAGTGTAAGTCAAGAGACCAGCAGCACCACAAGTGAAACCAGAAGACGATAAAAGGGAATTCTGGTTGGGTCACAGGTTCAGAATAGCGGTGTCCACAAGTGATCCCAGCAGATGGGTGACAGGAATACACATAGGTGGCTACAGTTGGTTTAAGAGGCATCCAGAGCTGGCACTAGGCGATTGCATGAAAAAGATTCAGAGACATTTGCAAAACCACAGAGAAAGTCAAGGTGAGCAATACATGGGCAACACAGTACAGAATCACAAACCGAATCAAGGTGGTTGATGAAGCGAGGTCAGTAGTAGTACAGAACAGGATTCGAAATCAGGCCAAGGGATAGCCAGGTCAGTAACATGAATCATATGCAGAACACAGGTCAGAATACAGAGAACAAGCTAAAGACCAGTCAGCACTGACACTGAGTTAGAGCATCTCTTAAATAGGCTATCTAGGGCCAATACACAGTGCATGGTGAAGCATGTGAATGAACATGCACACTTCTGCTAACATGCATGTGCCTAGCCAAGGTCCTAAATGCAGAGCCATGTGCATGTTTCCAAGCTGGTTAACAGGAATTCCTTGACAGCTGGCATTAATCTGGACCAGTGGGTGATCAAAGGAAAGGGAGATACTAAAGTACAATACAAGGTATTGGAACATGAAAAGGTTGGCAGGAACAGTCAAATATCCTAGTTGGCCAGGGAATGCATGGGGCACTACACCGGGCAGAACACACAGGGAGATTGACTAAAACTGGAGAGTGCTAAATCTGGTGCACCTCTGCATAGAAACCATTCAGCTTCCAGGTTTTATTTTCTCAAAGCTTAATTGAATAAGCTGAAGTTAGAAGTTGATTGGCTCCCATGCACAGCTGCACCAGATTTTGCACTCTCCAGTCTTAGTAAATCAACCCCACTGTTGGCGTATCATATGGGGACATATTAGAAACCAGAAACTCGGCCCACCAGGATCTACCCATAGCTGGAATGTCACTGTACTTGTAAACAGTGTCCCTGTCATCTGTTTTGTTTACATCCGCTCAGTTTGCATCACTATATGGTATAAAACAGTATGTCACAACACATTGGAGTAGTGACACAACACATTGGAGTTTAAATTACATCTTGACGTCTGGCTGCCAATTTTATGTTTTCTCATTGTTTACTTACAAACATATTTACTGCATTGGCTAAACATGTCTAAGCATACTGATGGAGAACACAACATACTTTTACATCTGCCACATGTTCATACCCACAAGGTTCAACGCAACGTTTATTGGTACACTCAAATTAGACCTAAACTTTCAACTGAAAAGTTTCTAATTGAAGGATGGTTCCTCAAAACATCTCACTTACTCAGTAGATATTCAAGAAAAGCAACAGCTACATAATCACAATACTAAACTCTGTAGACCCTATCCCACCATAAGTGTTTTATTCACATCAGTGATATAGTGTAAATGGCAAGTTCTCTACTTGACTACCATCTATATTTATAAGCCAAGCCAACTTACATAGATGTCAGCATGCCTAATGTACTCATAGGAGTTGATTTACTAAAACTGGAGAGTGCAAAATCTGGTGCAGCTGTGAACAGAAACCAATCGGCTTCCAGTTTTTTTTTCGTCAAAGCCTAATTAAACAAGGTGAACCTGGAAGCTGATTGGTTTCTATGCAGAGCTACACCCAATTTTGCACTCTTCAGTTTTAGTAAATCAACCCCATAAAGTCCTACCATACATATGTAATACTGCCAGCCCTTAGTAAACAGTCCTAGCAACCAACTGTATGCCAAAATAGCTGCCACTACCCATATTTATGCCATATAACATGTAAGCCTATATTGCGGTCCACAACAAAATACTGAAAAACAAAAAGCTGCTGTATAAAGCTTATAAACTTTCATAATGTACACATGGAATCATTCCTATGGATACCTCTGTTAGGGAAGTATTTGGGTTCAATAAAATGTATTGTTCCCACTGTGTAGCAATTATTGGATTTCATCTACTGTTTATCTTGTCTTATCACATATTAACTGACATTATACTCACTAAAATAATCAATGCATTTGGCCAAAAACATTTCTTACAGTTTTAAATTGTAAACCAATGGTAAAA